TCCTATGTGTTCTTCCCCGATTGTCTTCCACGTTGTGCAAATGGTTTCTTACGAACCATTGATCAATTGCCCAGTTCTTGGGTTTCTTCTGTAATATTACAATCTTGAGGTAATCGAAGCCTTCTTTGTCACTGCTCTGATGTCGCCACCTTTTGAGTTGTTGCACTCGTCCTGCCTTCAGCTGGTAGATGAAGAGTCGAATTCTTGCGATTGGTCATACACAATGATTGATAAATAGATGATAAGCCCCACAATGCAAACGACGTGGACTTATTGGCAGTCTGGGGGTTGATAAATAATTGATATTTTTGTTGACAACCCTTTCTTACCTGTTGTTCCCCGATGACCTTCCACGTTGTGAAAATAGTTTCTTGCGAACCATTGATCAATTGCCCAGTTCTTCGGCTTCTTCTATAGTATTACAATCTTGAGGTACTCGAAGACTTTCTATGGCAACGAGTGACGGAGCTTGAGGACGAAGCAAAAGGTTCTTCTAAAATAATTTTTTAACCAGAGTCGTTGGGAGGGTCTAGGGAATAGGGGTCCAGAGTAGAGTGGAGGAAAGGGGTTGGTTGATTTATCCCTTTACTTCTCTGTTTTTGCAGAGCTGGAAAGAGTGAGAAACATTTAGTGTGGAGGAGGCGGATATGAGATTGGGCATACCAATGATATATTTTTTTTTCTCTCTCCCCCTTCCTCTCATGTCTTTTTGCTTTCCTTTCTGCCCCCGCTCCTTACATTATTTGTATTATTATTAATTTATTATATTATTATTATCTTATTATTTATTTATTTTATTATTATATTATATTTTTATTTTTATTTGCTTCTGTATTTTTATCGACTCGGCAGCAGCGGTATGCATACAACATAGTTCAATTATCCATGGTTTATCTACGTGGCAGCATTGATCTTTTGAAGGACTCATATTATATCTGGGGTAGGCATGTCATTGTTCCTCCCTTTTTTTGTTTATTATTATTTATTTTTTTAAATTGTTCCAATCTATTCGTTGGGAGCATCACGTGTTGGGAATCGGCGTCCCATTATAATGTGAATACATAGATGGTTGACAATTGATGAAAATTTGGGATGATTTAGGATCATTTTGGATGATTTAGGATGTCAGAGTGGGTGATTGAGGTCATGAAATAGAGCTAGATAATGACTAATCAGAAAGATTGTCCACTCAACACTGAATTACTATCCTATCCCTAATTTCATGTATCCATTCCAAACAACCAATCACAATTGAGCCCGTGCTGTGCACCAATCAGGCCTCTTCCCAGTCTCACACCCCAATCTGGCTCGGTTACAGGGCAGCGCTACCCACCCCAGCTCCGACCATCGTCAGCAAGATTGTAGCCATTAGTCAGGTTTGCAGATTGCGTTCCTCCCTCGGCAATTCCAGACCTCTATACAAAGCCTCAAACTCCTGCATAAGCAGGTTACAGGGCACTGCCCCAGCGCCAGCTAGCGTCGTTCTGGCGCCAACTCAACCTGGCCATTCAATAAGAAGACTCAATTAGGAAATTAGCTAATCTAGAATGCCAACCAGAAATCAAGGATCTGACAATATCAGAATCCTGATCAGCAAAACTTTCTGATGATGAAATTTGACGAGTACCCTGAGATGATCACAAAGATGATGGATAATGATGACGACGCTGATGATTATTTCTCTCCACCCCTCCCCTTCTTCCATGTATTATCCTCCTCTTCCCTAATTTCCTCTTCTCCTCTCGCTGCCTCCGCTGAGCCCAACCCCGCTATCACCATGAAGTTTCTATCAGCCCCAACGAAAGGGAGAACCTCCCCATTCTCTTCTACCTTCAGGTAACCAGTTCCCTTAAAAGGTGTACCTCAAAACTAACACTCTGACCTAGTCTGCCTCCGCCAGGAGATAATGCGCCCCCATACATATCTCCCAGCCCCAGCCCAGGTCAGCTCCCCTCATCTGCGTCTACTCCCTGGAGGGCAATCACCTCCCACCTTGTGTTACCCTTGTGGAGTAGCGCTCCCTTCCTGACCAACCTACCTACCAACTAGACCATAGCCTATCTGGGAGACTGGGAGATGAGAATATAACCACCAACACAGAGATAACTCGTGATTGATAAAAAAAATGAATAAAGAAATCGTGATGATGATGATGATGATGATGATGATGATGATAATGATGATTCAGATTGGTAGATGATGATGATGATGATGATGATGATGATGATGATGATGATGATGATGATGAACTAAAATTGGCGAAGATAAGTAAGGAACGTCGAACTTGCGATGCCCGAATGGCATCGGTGTGGAAGATTGAGAAGTCTGGATGATGATCATGAAGAAGATAAAAAGAAGATAAATAACATGAATGACGATAGAGAAGCCGATGATGATTACCATTGGTAACCAAATGAGGATTACAGAAATGACGATGTCCTTGATGAAAGAAAAAACGCTGAAATGACAATGATGAAAATCTCGATGCTCTTGATGGATAACCTGCACAAGACAAAAAACAGATGAAAGCAGATACATCGGTTGATGACGACCTCCTAGCTGCTCTCTTGATGATACTCTCCCAGTGGCACCGTGATGATTCTTCAAGTAGGACCAACGTTCTCCGCACTTTGGTTTCCATGGGGCTGACTCCACTTTCCTCCACCGACATCGACTTTCGTCAACTCGCTTGAGCTCTTCAGCCTCTTTAAAGGTCTTGGCTATGGAGTACTTCATGTGAAAAACACAGGGAAAATGTTCAAACAGCAGCTGCCGCTACCATTCTCCCTTTTCCTCTGTGCCTCAGGCCAGATGCCACATCAACCTGTGACGTAGTAATGACCCAGCGCCTCTGGATACCGCGCGTGCGTCAAGCGCTATCCCCCATCTAATTCACAACATCACAGCAGTCGGCTGCCAGCACCGCGCCACGTGTCAGCTAGCATTTTACTAGTCACCCCAAGCCAGCGCCTCGCCAGCCGCAAGTCACCAGTGCCCCGCCACTCACCTGTTGCCAGCGCCTCGCCCCCCGCCAGCAGCCCGCGCCTCGCTGCACTCACACAGCCAGCGCCTCGCCACTCGCAAGAAGCCAGCGCCTCGCAACCTGAGAGAAGCCAGCGCCCTGCCACCTCCGACCAGCCAGCGCCTCGCCTGCAAGCAACCAGCATGCCACCATCCGTGTGCCGCGACGGCCCGCCAGCCATAGCGCTAGCGCTAACGCGCGCCTGGCGGAGGAGGACCATCTTTTTTTTTCTTTTTCTTTAACACTCCCTCGTACTCCCTCGTACGCATTCATAGTAGGAGTGTACAGCATTGAAAGTGCCTTCAGAGAGAGAAAATAGATGGAGCCTCCCCTAGTATGCTAGTGGTGTCTGCTCTTATCAGCACCCCTAAAAAAAAAAAAAACTTCTCAAGCTGGGAGATCTTCAAATTCTTGCATCTGAAAACATATGAATATTGCTAATTGATTAGAATCACGCCCCTTTGCTCGTCTTCTTTCTCAGCGATACCTAAAAGGGGGATGAAGGATTGACAGACCGACCGGGAAAGGGAGGGGGAGCGGAGGATGAGACGTGGTACGGGGAACAACAGAGGGGGAGGAAGAGTGAGAAGAGTGGGAGTGCGTTGAGGAGAGGGGAGGACTGGGAATGGAGAAGGAACCGACCGGAGAAGAGGAGCCATAGACAGACTTGCGTGACGGAGGTCACAAGAGGAGGATCTTACCGGACTTGACGACGCGGACTGCTGACCTGACCAACGAAGAGAGGACAACCACGGATCGATGACCTGACGACCAGACACGACCTTGACCACCAGAGACCAGTCTTGGGAATAGCGTGCAAGTATGATGGGGAGGAGGAAATAGGGCGGGTGGGATGGCAGAGATCCCCTGAGGCTGCGAGATAGGAGCAGCCCCTCCCCAAAACATAGGCGAGAAGAATGACTCCTCCTTGTGAGTGGTGCTGACTGCCTGTGCTGTGGGTGCAGGTTGGCATATGCCATGACCGCTGAGACCGGCCGGACTCCAGAAGGCGCAGCACGGGACGGATCGCAACTTGCTGTGGCTGGGCAAACGCCAGTCACATATACTGTTGCAGGGCCGAGTGTGGGACCAGGGAGGACCGGCGATGCAGTTCTCCAACCTGGGTGAGTGTCCTGTCCCACAAATACCTGCCCTAGATCTTGTGTGTGGAGATTGTCTGCCGAAAATAGTCGCAGTACTGTAGAAAAGTGCCGAAGTTGAAAATAGTCTTGCCGCTAATGTAGAGAATCAGTTGCTGCGAAGCAGTCCCATGAGTCCCAGTTTCAACTGAAAAGTCCCAAAGAACTGTCGGAAAAGACCCTGGCCGACCATGATGTGACCAACCAAATAAACTGAAGTACAACAGTTGCGGGAGGCCGGGCCCGTTTCCCGGTTATAGATATCCTCTTTGTTCGAAAGAAAAGAAAAAGAAAAGAAAAACCAACAAGAAAACTAATCAGAAACAAAACGAAACCAAGGAGAAGAGTCGGGTAGAGGTTGTGGGAGTCGACAACGCCCGAGCGGCAAACTTGGAAGGCACCCACCATCCCACCAGGCCCACAATCAATTGCCACGTAATGGTGCTACACATTAGCAACTACACGGGCACCAGAACCGAATCAGTTAGGGTCGTTGGGCGCACAAACGGTTAGGGGAAGGTACTCGGGCGATAACACCACGCAGAGCAGATACTCCACTTCATCTTAGCCAATGGAAAAAAGAAGCAGCAGCACACAATACTGACAGGCTATGGGCACCGGTTTGTTAGCTTCCGAACGGCTGAGATTCCATCGCCGTGTGCACGGCTGAGATTCCGTAGATTTCTCTCTTTCTCTCTCTCTCTCTCTCTCTCTCTCTCTCTCTCTCTCTCTCCTCCCTGGGGAGAGGTAACCCTCGTACGATAGAGGCAGATCTCCTTCGCAATTCAAGTGCATATATTCACATTCACGTTCCTAGACAGGCATTGTGGTGTGGCGATATCTCCGCTTCTCTCCCACCCAAAGATATCGGAGTCCGCAGTCCTCGAAGCACAAAGTTGTCCCGCCTTCCAGATCGCGCTCTTTAGCGCCAGTGGCGCTCGATAGTTTTCAGCGCCGCTTGTGCTCATTCCTCGAAGTTTGCCACCAAAATTCCGCCGAAGTCTTGAGCGCCGTGTGTGCTGATTCCTTTCGTTTTCCGCGGCCAGGTTCTGAGGTGTTTGAGCGCCGATCTTGCCGCAATTTTTCGAAGTGCTTGAGCCTCGACGAGGGTGTTGAGATTCTCGACCGAGCTGCTCATTGGCAGGAGAGATCCCACAGGCGTGGTCAACGATCATGGCGGGTGCTGCTCAAGCGGTTGCCGCAGGCTTTCTCTGTGAGAACGTTGGGGCTTCGGTGCTTTATGTCTCCGCAGCTTCCAGCAAGGGGCAAAAGCTTTGTCGTACGAGTTACGCGGCAAGTTGCGCTTCTTCATCGTCCCAGCAGCGATGGTGGTCTTCGTTCTCCTCCCCTGCGACGGCTGCTGCTTATGTCTCCAATGTTCGACACAACAGGGGACTCGTCGTGCGTCCTCTCGGCAGCGGACTCCGTCAACTTGCCTCTTCGTGTTTCGACGCGGTTCTCACGCCTTCCTCGCTGGGGACAGATCGCGACTGGCGGAGGGAGGCTGCGAGCAGGTCGTCGGCATTGTCGAGGACGAGATGCGCGCGGATGGCCGGCGGTGATGCCAGAATGAGCACCAATCATTGGGCTTTATCCTTGTCGTCAGGCTGTCACGAGAGAATCATCGGAGCTGCGGCGGTGGCGTTGCGCGCCGCCGCCTCGGCGGACATGGTGGGGACGGATGCTGCCGCCGCTGACGTGGAAGTAGATCCGTCGGTGATGGCGATGGTGCAGTCAACGATCGCCGAGAAGATATCGGAAGACGTGTCCAAGATTGTAGAGGATATGGCGCTCAGCGACCTCGGGATCGATTCCCTCGACCAGGTTGAGATCATGATGGCCTTCGAGGAGAAATGCGGTGTGTCCGTCGAAGATGGCGGTTCAGAGGGCGGAGCGGGATCGTTGAGGACGGTCAAGGATGTAGCCGTCTTTCTGCAAAAGCTCATCGCCAAGAAGAACAACGAGCCTCAGGGAACTTCATCCGATTAGCGAGGTATGTCAAGAAGGTTGTTTTAGTAGTCATTTGACGGAGGAGGATGAAGGGTGATTAGGGAAGTTTTGCTTAGAAATATAGATACGAGATACGTAATTAAGAAGAAATAACCTCAGTGAAAACGACAGACAACCGGTTGCAGGGAACGTGGATGGTGAAATTCGACAAGAAGTGTCGTAGATAGATGTCGATCCTGTTTATATCATCAGGTTCCTTGCAAAGGTAGCCAAATATAGGAGAAAATGCGGCAGGCTGAAGGTGAGTTCAGGAGTCTTGATTTGATATAAGTGTGTGAGGAGGACATTGCCGGTAGGCGAAGGGGTCGCCGCAGAAATGGTCAAAGACGGTGTGGACTACCGACTTCAGCCCGAATAGAACGCGCGTTCATTATCACTGCATCTGGACTGAAAGACACCACGTACAGATATAATTATAGGGCGGGGCGGCGTAGAGATGGTCAAAGGAGTGGACGAGGAGGTACGGGAGGATTGTGACAAGTAGAGACCGTACTTAATACGGATCATGCGGCACGGTGGTCGGAGATGCAGGGGAGACGCTGGAGGGAATGACGGTGCGTTATATTCGATTAAGCAGTCCACTGAGGCGGACTTGTCTGTGACGAATGACGGAGCGTTGACAGGTGAAAAAAATGCTATTACCAGCTTGGCTGTGTGCGGCGTGCATTTTCTTGAGTGATTTTTTCGGTTCTGTTCTATTTATTAATCTTAGGGCGAACGGCCTTGAGATAGCGTCGTTGGACTTGCCGCCCCAGGTAATTCAGAAATCACTCAGTTGGAAACGATCAACTGTGTATGAGTCATTATTTTCGCTCTTGTGCGGTGGATTGAAGCCCAGCGCATGTGGCTCAACGCTACACTATTAGCTTTTGAAGAATAGATGTGAGTTCGAGTTCTTACAGAATCAACCCCTTGAAAAAGTGCTTTTTTTTTTTTTTGTTTTTTTTTTGGTTGAAGAAGTACATTTTTTACTAAGTCAATTGAGAGAAGGCTACCCGACGCCGCCTACGGTGTCACTCGAAAAACTGTCTCTGCGCGTAAGCCAAGTGTTCGAGCAGTTGTGGAATGTTGATGACATTGTCGAGCGCGAGCGGAAGAAAGCCAGAGGAGGGTCATAGACTGTGAAATGAAGCGTGCACGCAAGTCTTAAAGCAGTAGCGGAATGATGATGACACTGTCGAGTGCGAGCGGAACAAAGCCAGATGAGGGTCAGAATGTCCGGTCGAATGATGTTTTCTTACTGGAAGGCAGAGGACACCTGTAAGAGGAATTCCCTCCCACTTCCTCCTTGTGAACTGCATCTGCTAGGAAATTTGAGCGTGTTGAATTAAGAATGTCAGTGTAACCGCTGTCATCAGCTCTCTGTCACCCACTCTACCACCAAAGCCTCGCAATCTTTGCTAAGATAAAAGGAAACAATTTGACCACAAGAAGGGCACTGTGCCTCACTGCACTACGAAGTAGTTTACATACATTTGGGCCCTCTCTGGACCAGGTGCATTCGAACGAATCCAAGCTCAGAATGACAGGGAATGGGAGAATGGGGGAATGGGGGCGGGTGCGGTGGTGGTTGAAGCCATAATATAGAATATGGAGTTGCCAATGGAAGCACTCCGACGGAGTTGAAGTTGTGTTTTTGTTTCTTATTCGTGTTTGTGTTTGGGTAGGTGAGACGACTGAGACGCGGGATTGGGATCCACAGGGTGGAATGGCGGCGTCTCACCGGATTTCTGTAGGTGCGTGTGTTGTCATGATTGTTACCTAGTCCAAGAAAAGGGAGGCAGACTGTAGTACACAGACTGTAGTACACTATTTCTTTGACTTTTGCCGGCTCGTCAGGACCCTTGCACCGCTTTTGCAGTCCCTGTTGGATGAGTGAAAGGGCGGGTGAGAACTGTGCGTGTAGGGGGGGAGATTGACGCAACCTTGCCGGATGACAGAAGGAGATGCTGTTGCTGTGATTGAGGGCTCCTCATGTGAAGCTGTACTGTCTGGTTTGTTGGGTTAACTCTTAGCGTTTTGTTCTCGGGTAAATACTCACACTAGAGGGGGTTCGTTGATACAGTCTATTCGTGGTGAGCAGCACTCTTAGCGTTTTGTTCTCTGAAGAGTTTTTTTGGGGGGGTTGTTGATACAATACTCTTAGCGTTTTGTTCTCTGAAGAATTTTTTTTTTGGGACAAATGCTCCAATCTATTCGTGGGGAGCAGTACGTGCTGTGAACCGGGCCCAGCGTCGCATAAAGATCTACACAAGTCATTTGAGGTACCGAGGCCATTACCTGGCTTCGGCTGAGAATCATTCTGAGAGCTATTGAGAACTATTGAGGAAACCATTTAGAAAAACTTGGGTAATTGCTGGCCTATTGGGAAAGCACTGAATGCTCAGAACCCCTGGATTTCTTAGCAAAACCCTCTAAAATTCTCCAACACAGTCTCATTCCCTGTCAAGCTCTCCCAGGCCTCATGCCCCTACCCTGCTAGGTTACAGGGCAACACAACTCACCCCAGCTCCGGCCAGCGTCGTCATGACAACAACCCATGGTTGTCCCTTAGAATGTCTGCCTCAAGGCATCCCCAGATCTCTCTACCAGACATTGCGCTCCTGCTATCAACAGGTTGTGTACCCCCCAGCACCGGCCACCATTGTTCTGGCATCGGAAAACCACAGATTCATGAATATGACTACATTAAAGTAGCCAAAAGTGAGTTGTAAGAAGTACCCATAAACCTAAAGCATTTTCAAGACAACTCAAACAAACAATTCATGCTCATTTCTAACCCCCCACTCTTCTTCATCCCCTGACGAGCTGACCTCCTCCACCACATAGTTCGTGGGATGAGAAATGCAGCCGCACCCACACAATGGGCACCTTCCTCAACTATTCCTCATCTCACAACGAGCCGACCTCCTCCACCCACAGTTCACAAGACGAGAAATAGTAGAAATCAGGTGAAATCACCAATCCTTGCCCTTACTCAATAAGTGCAGCACTACACTTCATCAGAAAACCATCAGAAAACAACCTCCCTCTTCCCTTCAACCCCCTACTCTTCATCATCTTCCAGCGAGCCGACCTCCTCCACCACATCGCTCGGAAGATAAAAAAAGAGTAGACAAACAACCTAACGTAATCCCATAATGGTTGGAAACGGAATTCAACTATTCATCGTCCGTCGATGAGGCGACCTCCTCCACCACATAGTTCGAAGAAGAAAAATAGAAGTAGTCCCAGAAAAACCTTTAAGTGGGTTTAACGCGCCAGCAATAGTCATCCTCCCTCTTCCCTCCAACCCCCTACTCTTCTTCATCCCCTGACGAGCCGACCTCCTCCACCACATAGTTCACGGGATGAGAACAGCAGTCAGTGTGACGCCCGAACCTCACGCCCAGCTCGACTTCCTGTTCGGAGTAGGATGGGGGCCGGGAAGTGCGAAAAGGGGTGTGCCAAGGATTTTAGGAAAGTGGGGGTAGAGTCCTAGGTAGGAACTGAGATCTCCTGTGGCAAGTTTTGGGGGTAAAAGCGCAAGAGGGTATGTTCAGGTTGTACTTGGCGCTTTAATTTTTATAAGAAGGAAAGTAGGTCACCTCTCGTGTTTTGGGCACAGAAGGAAAGCCGCAGATGTTGTCCACCATAAGGCAGATGGCATGTGCAGTGCGTCTCGGACTAAAGATCCCGGGGTACTCTTCCACAATCACAGCACCGACAGATCTAAACACTCTTGCATTCTCGAACAAAATCCCAACAACATTGCCCCTGCCAATAAACTAAATTTTCGTCTGCTTCCAGACCTGAAAATAGAAATCACCATCTCCTCTGGTTTCACCTTCGCGGTTGGTCGTGTGGTTCGACCGGTTGTTAGTGCCGCTTGACTTCAGTTCGGGCTTACCGAGCGATTTCCGACACTCGATATGCCTCGTGCCGCCGACACTTTTCGCACGGTTTGCAGTGCCAATAGCGGGCTATGGAATTCCACGGCGCCACCGTGAGCTGGTGATATGGAAGGAGGTGAAAGGGAGGGAAATTGGTCGTAATAACGACGAAGCCGGGGAATATAAAATATTGCATGTTATAAGTATTCAGGTAGTCGGGGCCTCTGGGATCGTTAGTTATGGCACAGTGAAACTCCCTTGCACAAAATCGGTCGTTCTCTGTCAGACAGGGGAATTTCGGATTTCTCAAGTTCCCCCGCCATCTGAGTTGTTCATTTTCCCAGTATTCGCGATATTTCAGGCCCCTCAGGCTCTCACGATCAGACATCCAAGAGGGAAATCCCGCAGCCATACCCGTTTAGTAAGCTCGGTCCCCTGCATCCTTATATGGGGTTAAGGCTGACTCGCACAGACGAGCACGTACGTGGCGACTCGGCTTTCTCGAGATCGCTGTCGTACGCGAGCGCGCACGTGAGAAACAGCGGATTGGTTCAACGTACCGATCGCGTTCGGCATACATGCAAATTTCTTACTCATGCTACGTTGGGTGAGATCCGGTCATTACATGCCATACATGTGACGAACAGGAGGAAAGAGGGGAAAGGACAATAAACTTCTTGGTGATCGAAAGTTAACGATTAAACCCAAACATCCATAATGAGCGCTCTCAATCAGATATGAGCGCAAGTGAATAGTAAACAGAGACGAAACAGGCATCGCAAAACAAGATTAGGAATCCGAAAAGATCACTCATTAAAAGGGAATTCACATTCATTCCATGCATACATACGGAGTAAATACGACAAGGAAAATCCGAGACGATTTACAAAAAGAAGTTCAAAAAGGGCGCGATAAAATTGGTCATATCAGGATCCAAAATTATACAGATAAACCAAAGGAAAGAACCTCATCCCACGCCCATAACTACTCTCTCTCTCTCCCTCTCTCTCTCTCCGCTCTACACCCCCGATACCGGCAGTCCGTCGCCACGTATCAACGTAGAGTTGTCACCCCGCTTGGTTCAAGCATGCAAGTCAGGTTCGCCCGTGCACCACACTCCGTCACGGCCCCACACGTCAACCTCGCATACCCGACACCAGCTCGTCGGATCGCCCAACTCTCGCACGCACTTACCTTCCAAACTTGCTCGTTAGCCGATCCTCACTGATCGCACTAACCTCGAAATTCTTAGAGAGCAAATTAATCGCACTTGCGAAATTTATAGCATGCATGCCTGCGCGAAAGGTACGGGATTAAGGCCAAGTAGACAAGAGGAGAAGAGCGGAAGTGCCTACGTCTGCATGGCCAGGCCGCGTGGGGGTCGTAGCCGCACTCCACGCACCGATCCACTCATGCAGGCACCTAGGCCAATTAGAACGGAACATCAAGCATGCAAGACAAAGAAGAAGAAGGCGGACAAATACGAGGAAATCAAGAAAGAAGAAAGATACAGTTACAATCGCGCCCCCCAAAAACGACAGGTGCACAAGATTAAGGGCGAGATCCCGTCAGAGCCCAGTTTCTAGCGCAGTAAGATGCGCGCAAGCGTGGCGCAACAAAATTCAGAGTACCTGAATTCCTAGTCTAAGTCCTAATTGCAAAATAAAATTCTGAATATGCAAAAGAAAAACAATTTCGCGACCCCATGGGGGCTCGACATCAGTTGAAAATTCAAAAACGATACTCCCTCACAATGATCGCGCCAAAACTCCCAGTGCTCACAGCAGAACAAGAAAAAATCTTTGGTACAGTTATTTCTCGCGCTCGCCAAGGAGCGGCTACTCAACCGTTGGCACGTGATTTTCCCAACACCGATCCGACAACTTCCAGCAGAAAACAAAAAGAAACGAGGGCATCCATGCAACTAGCCCGCCTGATCCATCTTCCCACAACTCATTCATTCGACCCATCGTATTTCCCCAAGCAGCTTCACGCAGAAAGTCGTGTGATTACATAAAATAGTTTGTCACATCACAACCACACAACGGACACCTTCCTCAACACATTCCTCCTCTCACGACGAGCCGACCTCCTCCATCCATAGTTCGCAAGAGGAGGAAAAGCAGAAATCAGGTGAACGCCCTCACCCTAATAAGCGTAGCACCAACCCTACTTACCTCTCACCTCACTCCGGCAAGACTCATAACAACTAAGCCACCATCTCAGTTGCGGCTATGCCCCAATCCAGTCCCACTAGCTAGCCCTCCTCACCA